TTGTATTATTCTACACTTTTCTTGTGGTTGACATACTGGTATACAATGAATTTTCTATGATAGCTCGTAGGGATTTTCATTCGTTGTAGTCATTTGACATTTTGCGTGTCATCAATACATTGGGTGTATGACGAGTCTTCTTCAGCAGATCGTAAGTGCTCACATTCGTTGTACTCATATAAAATTATGTGCGTATATGACATTCTGCATAAATGACAGGTCTCCTAATACCCCGCAAACAATTGCATTTATTTATTGTTTGTTATCACCTATTAAATTCTTCTGCTCGTAGGAGACACATTTTTTCAGTGATTTGACGTTATATGCATACTTTAATTAGGGGTCGTACAACCCGTGACACATAAAAGTGCGTTATTTTGTTTCTTTTTGAAGACATGTTCACGGGATGTACGAGCAGCCTAACTTTAACAGCTGGCATGCACGTTACTTAGAGCACCCGTGACTTGCAATGTGACCAACGATCCTCATTTTATTACGAAGCGTTTAACTAGAAAATTATCGGGGATATACAAGGGTTTTCTTACATGTTTACAATTAATGTAAATGCATTTTGTTAAAAAGGTAAATAATTTTTTTTAACTTTTACCTTTTTCTTTTTAAGATAATTACTATTCATATTCAGGTGTATTTACGCTCGTATTTCACATGCTGGTGAATACTCTAGGAATCCAAGGCTAAAGCCAAGAATCGACATCTTAGGATCCTAAGCCAATGGGGCCCGCAGATATACCTTCTTTGTCTTTTAGCAAGGGGATCCTAGGTTGGCAAGGCCCACGAATAATTCGAATTCAATGTTATAAATAGGATGGGAGGCTTAGCTCATTCATTCACATTCCATATATGTAAAAAGCTTTGGTTGGAGACTTAGGTGTGTGTAAGTCATGAGCTAGGAAGAAGAAGTTTGATTCATACCTATTGGCGAACAATTAATTCCCTTAAAGATTCATTGTATGTTGCATTTCACAATGATTTGGATTTCTTTTATCTTTAATTTTCAATGTCGGGAGCCTAGGGTGTCGTATGTTTTATTTTTTTGTTGATTTAAAACTTTAGGTGAATTTTAATCTCTTTGAAATTTTCTAAATCATTGGTTTTGTTAAAAAATTTGGCAGCACACCGACGTCGTCCTCGTATAGGGGCTGCATCGGGCTATGTAAAACCTTTCCACCTGCCAAGAAAGACAGTCACGGTAGGTATCAAATGACACCGTGGTCGCAGTCTCGTTCTCCGCTCGCTAACAAAAGCGATCATGGGGTCTTCAAGTACATGTTTAAAATATATTTTCTCGCTTGTTAAGAAAAGCAGTAACGAGTACTTAACTTTCATTTCATATATAATAAATTTCTTCGCTCGCTAACGAAAGTGGTGACGGGTACTTAAGTTTTATGCATACGAATTTCCCCGCTCGCCAACAAAAGCGGTCATGGGTACTTATGTTTCTTCGCTCACAAACAAAAGCAGTTACGAGTACTTATTTCATGCATTGAAATTTACAATGCTAATGTAGGATTTATACCTTGGGTGCACGGCGATCAAGGCAAGGACGACGAATGGCGGCGATGAAGGAAAACCTGTGATGCATAATATAATATTTTTTGTTGTCATTTATGCCATTTAATTAATCATATATGTTTTTTTTAGTTAAAACAAAGGCTAGAGAGAGAGCTCTCCTCCTAGAGAGAGAAAGAAAGGGAAAGAAGGGGTTTGATGGGAATTTGCATGGAGAGGGGTTTAGGTGTAAGGAAATGGGGGGTGAGATTTAGAGAGAGAAAAACCCTCTCTTTCCAATTTTGGAGAGAGAAAGAGAAATTTTTTTCTCTCTTTAGGAAGGGATATATAGAAGAATGGTGGAGAAGAGGAGTGTTTGGGATGAAGAGGAAGATATTTAAGAAAGAGAGTGAAAATTTTCTCTCTCTAGGCTAGAGATAGAAAATGGAGAGCCTAGAGAGAGAAAATGGAGGATACAACCAACAACATCAAGCCTTTGTCCCACTACGTGGGTCCGGCTACATGAATCCTTTTTCGTCATTGTGTCTAATTAAAAGTCAAATTCTCATCTAAATCTAATAAAGAAAGACCATTTCTAATATTTTCTAACCAAGTCTTTTAGGTCTACCTCTACCTTTCTTAACATAAGCCAAATCTAATACCTCAACTTTTCTAACCGGGTCATCGAAAGGCCTCCGTTTAATGTGACCAAACCATCTAAGGCGACTCTCTTTAATCTTATCTTCCACTGGAGCTACTCCAACCTTTTCACGTATATGCTCATTTCGTATCCTATCTCTAAGGGTCAAGTCACTCATCCACCTAAGCATCCTCATCTCTGCAACACTTAACTTAGTATTATGCTTCTCTTTTAATGGCCAACATTCGGCACCATAAAGCATTGCAGGTCTCACCACCATCTTATAGAATTTTCTCTTAAGTTTGAGGCGGACTTTTCTATTGCACAATAAGCCTGATGCATTCCTCCACTTCAACCATCCAACTTGAATTCTGCTGATAATATCCCCATCAATTTCACCGTCACTTTGAACCATAGATCCAAGATATCTAAAATGTGTACTCTTATTAATGACTTGATCGCCCAAAGTCACAATCCCCTCACTAGGTCTATTTCCACTAAAATTACACTCCATATATTCAGTTTTAGATCTACTCAAGCGAAAACCTTTAGACTCTAAAGTTGACCTTCATAATTCAAGTTTACCTTCAACTCCCTCTCTAGTCTTATCAACAAGAAGAACACCATTAGCAAAAAGCATACACAATGGTACATCCTCTTGCAAATGTTTAGTGAGAACACCAATGACTAAAGCAAAAAGATATGGGTTTAAGCCTGATCCTTGATGTAATCCAACCTAAATAGGTAAATACTTGGTCAAACCACCTTGTGTTTGAACACAAGTAATAGCTCCTGCATACATATCTTTAATGATTTGAATATAAGCATATTGACTCCTTTCTTGGTCCAGAAAATTGACCCGTTTGCAAAAACGGGTCGGGTCGACCCAAACCCGAATAGTACCGGGTCAGTTTCAGGTTCGACCCGAACCCGACCCGTGACCCGAAATTGACATGTCTAAATGGGGGTTTGAATACATAAAGATTTTATTTTACTTTACTTTATGTCCAGCCAAATACCAAAAGTAAAATAAAAATAATGCATTTGATCTACATTGTATTCACTTTTCCTCAAATCAAACAACTTCTATAAGTTGTTGTCAAGAAGTGAATTTCATAATGGAGAATTAATATATATATATATATATATATATATTTGAATTTAAAATAATAAAAATATCTTTTTATATTAACCGTGCATTGATCTGCTTGCTAAACTTTCATCGCTTGTGCTTCATCCTCGTTTTGCGTACATAAATTTTAATTTTTGCTAATAAAAACCTCCAATTAATATGTGTGTCGATCGTATTTGTTTTAATAGAAAAATCTCACTATAATTCCTAGACTATTCGTGCATGGCAATTTTAGTCCCAAAGTATTCTGTTGCCCTAATTAATCCCTTGACTATACAAAAATTGATTCAAAATAGTTCCTCATGTTGTAATTGTGATATAAAATTGATCTTGATCAAGTCTCTCAATTTTATACGATTGATCCCAATTTAGACCCAATGGAATCATTTTAGATCAATTTTGTATAGTCAATGGACTAAATTGGAGCAACATTATACTCTTGGACTAACTTTATTATATATAAATAGTCGGGGGTCTATTTTGAAATTTGACCCATTGTTTTACTTGTCTCGAAGGCACCGACACTGTCTGTTTTACGAACGGACGTCGTTTTGATGATTTTGACTTTTGATTGACATGTTTTGAACAATCTTCGCAAGACATCTGAGCAATCTTTTTAATTGTTAGTGCTCTCCTGCGAGCATTTGAAATTAATTATAGAGACTTACGGCCACTGGAAGTCTTGAAATCTAATTAAAGCCTTGTCTAAATATTAAAAAAGAAATCCGCTTAAAATAACTATCCCAGGAAAACTACTACCAATTCTTCTCTTACACATCAAGGAGGCTCTCAAGGGATGGAATTTGGGTTTTAATAAGCTATTAGAGATCAAAAGAATTTAGATTTAAATTGAATACAAATCACATTTTTGGAAAACTTATAAGTAAGGTTTTTATATATATGTATTAGATTTGGCATATGTTAAGAAAGGTAGATGTAGACCAAAAAATACTTGGTTATAAAGTATTAGAAATGATATTTTTTAATAAGTTTAAATGCGAATTTGACTCTTAACATGACACAATGAAAAAAAAGGATTCATGTTGCCGACCCCTAATGGAATAAATGTTTGATGTCGTTTTTGTTATTGTTATAAGGTTGCTAATAAGTCAATCTCTGTTGAAGATCGGCTTGAAGTCATTGGATCAAATTTCAAACCGAGTCTATTTACAAGTTAGCTCAATATTATCTCAATTCAAACCAAACATAGCTCAATAACTTTGAACCGAGTATGATTCAAGACAAAAGTCAATCTGAACTCGATTAAATATTTTAGCTTCGAAAGAAAATTCTTAGTCCAATATACATACATGCACTCAAAGATAAATAGATTCATACATATAAATGCATAGATATATATACACATTCACTCAAATCTAAATACATATATATAAATGTGTATATGCACACATACAATTAAATTCTTTTCATTCCAATCTTAAGCTTGTTCAATAATCCAATTTTGGATCAATTCAAATTTATCCAAATCAAAGTTGACTCATAAGTCAACATGTTGACTACAATCTGAGTTCAATTTAAGAAAAAAATTGATCTCATTTTCAATGAATCTTCAAGCCAAACTAACAAACCTACTCACAAGAAGCCCCGATCTTAAAATCGTATGGTTTCTCTACAAGATAATATAGATGCATTCATATTATTCGAATACTACCAAGCAAATAAAATGTGAAATCGCCAAAAAATTAAAAAAAAACATACTGGAATAATCCCATCTGCGATTTTGAGCTTACACAATTCCGTTGCTGTGATCTTCAGTTTCTCAGCTGCCTTCAATATGATGAAACAAACATTGTTAACTAAAATTCTACTGAATATTAACAGCATGTCTGCAAACAAAATCAGCATACCTTTGGAGCAGCTTGTGAAGTTTTCCACAAGATTGCTGCACATGCCTCAGGGCTAAATTTAAAAAAAAACAAAAACAAAATAAAGGGTGAATGAAATGTGAAAGCCAACATAAATCACCTGGGAAGGATATACAGATAATTTTTCCATGAATAGCAAGGGTCATTATTTGTAATTGTAAAACAGAATGATTACAAAGCCAACATCTAAGAAAAAGCATATGGATACACACTTATCCAAACATGATCTTCCCACAAGATATAAAAAGAAAAAAAAAAAAAAGAAAAAATGAAAGGGCGATGAGAAACTAAAAATGAGGGTCACATCAATCAATTTTAATTTTAAATTTGAATTTTCTTTTTTGAATTCTCAATAGTATTCATCTGAACAAGTATTTATATTTGTTTATAGGTGTTGATATGCCTATGATAAATGAGTTTCCGCGGCTTGATTTTAGTCTTGGATTCTATTTCCATGACTTCGGTTGTTTTCCAGTTTCTATGCTCTGAAACATGTCAATATAAATGTGGTAAAAATATTCCGAATAATAGATCTTATAAAGTTTATAATAATGAGGCATGTGAAAATAATATGCAATAAATGCATGATGTTGAAGATGAAATCACTATGAACAAAAAAAAAGCTTAAGTATCTACATTAGATGTGAGGATGGATGGTAAGACTTTTTCTTATTGGTTATGGATATGGATAAATTTTTTAAATGAAAAACTATACCTGATGAGAAAAAGTTAGATTTGATAAATTAAAATAAGTCTGACAAGATAAAAAATATTGAATAACTGGAAAAATTATTGGAAATACTTCCAAGAGAACCTACGTTAACCTGGAAAGCAAAAAATAATAACTTACAGAAAAGTATTGTCCATTATCATATCATCATAATATACTTGATCTTTGTAATGTTTTAAATCAAGAAAAAATACTAAACATATGAATAAATTTAAAGAGTTATTAATTCGTTCTAAGACAGTGCAAGGTCTCAAAACAATACTTTCTAAGCTCGGATTGGTTTAAAGAACGATATTGTCGAAAAATGAAAGCTTAAATTATTTTATCCATTGAATATGTTTTTCAACTTAGGATCTTGAATAAGTATTGGAAACTCATGTTCCTAATAGATTCCATACATACCCTAAGAATTTTCCTTATTGGAAGTACACAATCTCAAACTCTTTCGCATACTGCATCTAAAAGTAGCAACATTATAATTAATATAGATAACAAAAAAATTTATTCATAGCACTGTGGGCTCCGAAAATTCATGCCCCAGCCTCCCCTACATCAGGGGAGTTTTTACGGATTAGATTCCAAAGTAAATTTTCAGAAGGCGGATTGGGTTTGAAATAAGACACTACCCAGATATTTCGCCCTCATTTTGTGAGGACTTTATGATCTGAGTTCTAGTTTCCTATAGGCGCAAGCCCCATAGTTAATTATCTCTCCCGATAATGAGAGAATTTTCGATTAAGGCTAGTCATCAATCAATTACGTAGAGATACGTGTATTTGACATATCGTAGCAGCATGAGTTTATGTATTTAAAGATTTGAATTAAAATTGAAAATTTCACCACCTCGTACTTAAAGCGGATGGTGGGGGGACTGATGATGAGCCCAATCAAGATCATATGGTTTCGTCGTCCCAAGCCATCGTGGTTCCTGGTCTATTTAGTCAGAGGAGGTAGTCGACCCAACCTAACAAAAGGATCCTTGTCGGCAACCATGGGTTGCTTCGTTGAAGGGTACCTTAAGGACCTAGGGTGGATGTTTGTCTAAGGAGACAAATTTGAATCTACCTTAGCTAGCAAAGGGCTTTGTGCCCTATCGATTATATCCGATTTATTGATATCTCAAGAATTTAGTACCATTGGAGAGCTTACAGACTCTGGCCATGACTGTAATTTAGTGGTGTCATTTGACAGCAAACCACCCAGTTCAGAGGGTCCCAATCATAAATGTTTACCTACGATGCCATTTGGCGACAAAACCACCGGTTATAGGACACATGCCACATCCTTGCTGGCAAGAGACTTTTTTAGAATGAATCATTATGATATTCTCAACCATACATTAGCTCTTTGTAAGCTAAAATGATATTTAAATTTATCCACCTCGACAAACCATTACGGAGGGTGAATGTGTTTTTCTTTAAGCGTTTTATGATTGATTTCAATTTCAAATATTTTAGATTTTGATTTTTTTTTTTAGTTTTGGGTTGTCATGGGCATTTTGATAGAATTTTAAAGTATTTGGAGTTAACCCCTCCAATTGAGTTTTGCATTCAACACGGTTATCATCGGGATATTTATGGAGAATTCATTTGTGGATTGAACATTGTCGACTTCGTCAACTTGTCAACAGATGATCGAGTTCGTAGTATGCTTTATGCCTTTATTGATGAATTTTCCTGATTATAGGCCTTGAAGACTAAATATGAACGTATTAAAACAAATATCTTGGTCGACACCATGACTGTATATTTGTTCGATGGTTCGAGCCGTGTCAACTCTTATCTACTCGCATAAAAGGATCAAGCTCAAACTTGGATTATCATTTGACCCGTGCAGCATCCTCAGCGTCACGTGTGTACCCATAACACACTCGTCGGAGCCCATGCAGGTATTTAGAGGGCATTTTTATAATTATTGATGAACCTTGTCGACTCTGTCTAATTGCTGACAAAGGATCGGGTTCATTGCCGGCCTTAGGCCTTTATTAGTGAGTTTTCTTGATTATACGCCTCGATGGCCTAATACAAACACATTAAAACAAACATCTCGGTTGACATCATAACTGTATACTTATTTGATAGTTCAAGCCATGTCGACTCCTATCTACTCGTATAAAAGGATCAAGCTCGAACATTGATTTATAATTTGACCCCCGCAACATCCTCGGACATTGCGTGTTTACCCATAACACACTCGCCGGGACCCATGAAGGTATATGATTACATGTGCATGTCTTTGTGTTTGTGTGTATACATATTGTAGTGTATGTGCGGAGGCATTTTAAAATATTTGATGTTGATCAGGTGTGCGAGCAACTATCATTTGAATGTAGGGTTCTATTTAGAAGTTCATACATGCCTACTGTCCGCTTGTAAGAATGTTGCAGATCTAGTGGCATCATACTACAAGTTGCCCATTGCTTTGTATATGTAAACTATCGTTCACAACTTGTTGCTTTCTACAAGTATATTATTGTGCCCTAACGAATCACCTGCTATAGCTCGTAGGGGCCTATAGTTGTTATATGTCGTTCGACTTTACTTGCAAGAGATCGGCATATTTAATTGACATATATGGAGGCTAGCAGCAAGGGTGTCGTAGCATCCATTGTCTGTTGCTAATTAGCAATCGTAGGCTTGTTGTGATTGTGAAAATCTTCCGTCAACGCCAATAGGTGTTCGTATCTACAATAGTTCTTGCATCTTCTTGTAGGCAATATATTGGATGTATAATGGGTCTCCTACGATAGCCCGTAGGGGTTTGCATTTGATGATTGTCTTCTGTATTTGTTCATGGATAGCACTTTATATGCGTGACAAGTCTCCTACGGCGTCTTATAGGAGTTTGCATTTGTCATCAATCTCTCCCTGCATATTGACAGTGAGGGCATCTTTGTAACCACTGCATACATGATCATCATGGCTTGCAGAGGGCTGATGTATTTGACTGATATAGAAAAGTTGTTGACTGTGAAGATGTCATAGTATTCAATGTCTCTTGCTGGAATAACTCGTAGGTGTGGGCCTGTATCGCAAAGATGTTGCATTGTGTATGTTTGTAAGAGACTTTGTTGTATTGGTTGCACGTTGCTAGTTATCGCTCGTAGGTGGACTACTACATGACTAAGGGGTCTTTTACAGTAATTTGTAAGGGCTCGTACATTTTACAAGTATGTTACCCTTGCCCTTTTGGTGAACTATAGTATTTATACTACAAACCCACCTTCTACCTGTATGCAAGGTGATGTATGTGTAGGTGTGCTTGCAAGTAGATTGGTGTTTCTAGCAAGAATGTTGTTGTCGCACTCATTGCACATTCTTTTATGCAAGTAGGAGGAATTATTGTGTGCATCATTGCTTGGTGTGCTTGCTTTCAAGTTAATATATATAGAATAATAATTTACTATAAATAATAACAAAAAATTAAATTGCAAAATGTTTTTTTTTTTTTTGTTTCACCATGCGACAAGAGAGAGTCGAATGGATTGAGTAGGTCGACATAATTGAAGGAATCGGCACAGTAGCCGGTTCAATCGCAGACTCTATGCATGGGCAAATTATTGGGTCAGGTGACCGAACGCAGAGATGAGTCAGGATATTAATAAAATATTATTTTAAAATTAACGCAACTAAAGCGCAGGTAAAGCACAACTAAAGCGCAACTAAAGCGCAAGTCAAAAAGCGCAACTAAAGCGCAAGTCAAAAAGCGCAACTAAAGCGCAAGGTGACGCGGCAAATTTTTATTGGATGTCCGAACTTATTTTTCGCCTCCGGTCACCTGACCCAATAACTATGCATGAGTGGAAAGATTAGAGCAAGGAGTGGGCTGTTGGGCTTTTGATTTACAGTGGATTGAGATTTTAAGTGGGAGAAAACAATCGCATGAATGAGATCTGACTCGCGTGCGTCCAAGCAGGCAGATGGATGGTGACTGAATCGGAGCTTTGGTGTAAGGTTGGAGGTGGAGATCTCGGCCAGGTAGTGGTTGTGAGGAAGAACGTCAGGTTGGATCGAGCTAGACTGGTGGAGTCGGCTAGGGTTGGGTCGGCAAGAGAAATCGGAGCAGGCGACTGGTTGGAGTCGGACACAGTTAAGGGAAGAGGCGTCGAGTGCGGCTCAGGGAAGATGTGTGAGGAGGCTTGGAGTTATGTGGCTGCGTCCTGGACGTCAGCTAGAGTCGGAGGTTGGATGGGGCTCTGTTTGCAGAAGGGAAGAGGCAGCCGATGAGAGTGGTGTTGGCGTGACGTGATGGGAGGCTTGAGAATAACTGGAACAAGAGGTTTGGCCGCAACTCAGGGCAGCAATCAAGCGCAAGTGTCGGACGGGTTGGAGGCGTCGGAGGTGTGAGAGTTCATGCGTGAACAGGTGAGGATGGAGGGTTGGTTGTTGGAAGAGAAAGAGTGTGGATGTGTTGAGGTAGAGTGGATCAGAGGTTGCTTGAGGAGTTCGGCTTATGGAGAGAAGCTGTGGGGTTGGAAGTTTGGTAGAGAGGAAAATGAGAGAGCTGGAGCAGATGAAGTGTTAAGTGAATGAATAGAAGTCACGTATGCGGGAAATAGGAGCGTGACCTGCTATGAAGCAGCGCCGACTGTAGGGTATGGGAGGACACTGTAGATGGCGGAATCGAGCGGGATTTGCAACAGAGGTAATGATTTGAGCGATTTTTTATTTCTTTTTTTTTTCCCTCAGTTCTTGTTTGGAGGTCAACAAGTACACAAGGATCTAAAATAACTACAATATATGTTTCAGTGTCACCAGACAAGTCGTTATGCAAAAAAATGTCAAAATATAAAATAAAAAAATAGATGCAAGGGATAAAGATTATAGAGAAATTAATGAAGAAAATTACTTTCATTAATTTCATAGTGAAATAAGTAATTCTAAAGAAGTTTTAGTGAATCATTACTCAAAAGTTATGAGATGTAGAGTTGCAACAAATTTTAATCTGATTCGAAAGGAACTATATTACAAACTTATTTTAAACATAGAAATGAAATATAAAGGCCTAAATTAGAAAACAATATAAAATAGCATGGGTAGATATAGCTTCAAAATCTGTTATAGAACTGTCAGATGCCAACTCAACTTGCTAAAGTTGGTGAATATTTGATGAGATATTTTGCTTACAGACGTAGCACAGATTATTTGGTTCTCATGTTGCTATATGATTGAGATGTAACTCAATTTAGAAACTAAAATACTTATGTGTGAAATAATAAAAATGTAAGGTGATGTAGGATAAATATGATTGTGACGTGTCATTGTATTTTACTTAAATGATTCTTATATTTATGCGTTTAGTTTATTTTTTATCTTTAGTTGAATTATCAAAGGTAATACGGTCATTTATCCATTTCTTCGGAAGAATTTGATTATTTGTCAGTAAGATCATCTATTATAAATAGCCGTTCAAAAGGTCATGAAAAAAATAGACTATTATTGATTGATGAACGAAATTTGTTCACTTCTTCCATTGATCGAAGTTGTGTATGCAGATCACTCCAAATTGTGTGGGGGGAGCTCTTCTTCTTCCCCTTTCAAAAAAGTACACTTAACTTTCAAATATTGTACCTATAAAATATATGTAAATGCAAATTATTAAGAAAGACAATATTAAAAATGTTTCAAAATTATATAAAAAAAAATCATATTTTAAACTTCAAAAGCAGAATGCATTTATTTTTATGTATTATACAGATATTTTTTATTTATAATATAAATTTCTCATTTGACAAGAAATTTGTTTTTGATAAAAATAAGCTCATAAATTAATTTCACTTCTTGCATTGAATCTCCATAATTTTCTAGTTATTTTCATTGTATAATCTACTTTATAAGGCCTAATGATGTCAAGTTTACTATTTAAGCATCATTAAAAAGTTAATTTAAATTAAATTCTATATCTTACACTCTTTTCAAACACTAAATTTTTACACTGTTTAGTTTCAATTTTAGTAAATTTCGTTTTATATACAATTTTCTTTGTAAATGTTATGTACGTATTTTTTATTCCGAATTCTAAAATGAAATTTGTATAATATATGTACCAATGTATGTCAAGAATCCATCATGTATTTTACTATGGTGAAGACTAAAATAGCTAAAGCTTGCCACATAACCTAATGAAGATGTTCTGAAGATTTAGGTAAATTGTGCTTGTATTTGTTAGCTCACCTGGCAACATAAAAGACAGCATTTTCTAACATGAACAGCTTATTTGCACAACCTATTGCAAGAGCTCCACCAGATCCACCTTCACCAATAACAACTGTGACTATTGGGACCTTCAAGCCAAACATATCCCTCAGGTTGTGGGCTATTGCTTCTCCCTGCATGCAGGTAGAAAAGCAGAATAAACTCATGTTCTATATTTGAGGGAAAATTTTGTGAGGTACAATCAACACTGGATACTACAGAGCCACTTACTTGACCAAGTTCTTCAGACTTGAGATCAGCAAATGCACCAGGTGTATCAATAAATGTTATAATAGGAAATCCATGGTGGTCAGCATATCTCATCATGCGCAAGGCCTTCCGATACCTTTACAGGACAAAATAATTTCAAAATGTGCTCCATATGCTATTACTCACTTGTTAAAATTTAAAGCATAATGGAAAAACTTAGTTCCAGAAGTAATCTAATCTTTAAGGAAACTGCTCACCTAGATACCATGCAACCTGTAAAATTAACTTCATGTGCATTGTAGGAAAATTGATTTCCAAAAGTATTCTAGTCAATAAGGAACTGCTTATCTATTTTGACCTATTATTAAAAAAGAAAAAAAAAATTATACCCACTCCACACGGCATGACTTTCGCTTCCTTTCATGTTTCCCACAATCTCCTTAAACCGCACGCTCAATCCCTCTATCCCTTTCTCGTTTTCTCTCTGGAAACCACTCTCCCCCTCATCGATGACAAACTACTCTCCACAATCACTAATTCATCTTCCCTTATAAACTTAAAATCATTACTTCTATACACAAGTATTTAGAGCCTATGATTAGCCTTAATCTAAAGTTTTCCCTCATCATCAAGGAGGATAATTAACCATAAGATCTTGTGACTATGAGAAACTTAAAACTAGATCATAAAGTTCTTATAAAATAAGGGTGAAATTTCTATATACTGTTTTTATCTTCAATCTATTTTGACTTCTTAAAATTTAACTCGAAAAATAACTCTCTCAGCAGAGTTTGCAGTGGACTTTCGGAGCCCACAATCTAGATGCTATGCAACTTATAAAATTATTTTCTCATTCACGAGATAGGTCACTTGTTGAGAGAAAAAAAGTATCTTGTAAAATCCTTTTATGCGCTTTTCTCATCTAGTAGTTATCAGAACAAGGCAGTGATAAATAATTGAACATATCAATCTTGAAAGGATAATAATAATATACTGTTACCCATGCGGAGTTGGCATTCCAAAATTCCGATTAATATTTTCTTTGGTATTCCTCCCTTTCTGATGACCAATAAACATATAAGTTTTTCCATCAATACTTCCAATACCAGTAACAATGGCTGGATCATCATAACCTGCACGATCACCATGAAGCTCCACCCACTGGACAAAAAAAAAAGAACAAATATCAGCAAACCAAGAATGGGCCTTAAGAATAAACATTGAAAAAGGAGACGAGGATGAGCAAATCCATTTAAAGATTATGGACAGAACACGAGGAAAGAAAATTACCTTCTCCGTTATGTTTAAAACATGGTCAAGAAATGTAGGTCTGTTTGGATGGCGAGCTATATTAAGGCGCTGAATTGGAGTTAAATGGGTGTATAGATCTTTTAAAGCCTACAGAAATTATGACAATAGACATAAAGGAAATCAGAAAAAAGAAACCACCATTGAATTGATAAATGAGTAGAACCATTAGTGAAGACTACTTAAAACAGTAAAGGATTGACAGATGAACACAACCTATTGAACTTTGCAGATTCATGTTTGCATGTAAGTACTATAAATGAGCAGTGATACGCAAAGCCACAATTCATTCACATTATGCATTTCATACCACTATGATTCTCATTTGAGATTCACTTTCTTTGCAGTTATGAGAACAGTTTTTTCATTATCGACAGCAAGTTCTTGAGAGAATTTTCTCTTCATCTCCTGATAAAAATACAGTATCCTCATTAATTGTTTCCTTTCTAAATGAATAAATGTAGGCATGCTTCCTTTGTTTTGTATAAGTGGATGTAGACATATTCGTGCATATTTTGATGTATTAGCGTATGTATGTGTAATATATATTTTTGCAAGAACCATATTCTGCTTTCTCACGAGTAGTCATACCCACTTATCTGGATCTTGTGTGCCATGCGATGTAGTGCGGCATACTGAGGGGGTAATTTTGGCTTAACTCTAATATTCTCAACAGCTTCTTAAGTTATATTTGTCTATTTGACACGCTCCATTTTCCTCTAGTATTTTTACTTTCCACTTTAATTATAGATTCTCACCTTTCAATGCCTCCCTTGCACATGCCTAGTATAAAGGTAACAGACCATTGATCAAGGTAATTTGTCTCCGGAATAACCAGTTAATACAGATGCGTGATTATGCTGAACCTTGCCTTACAATAGATTTTAAATGTAAATTATTTCTTAGGGGAAATTGAACAAGTTGAATGCTAATAATGCAAGATAGGCCTCATTGAAGTCTCAGGAGTATATCAGAAATGCATATGAGGAAACACTGGAAACTCATCCATCATGAATACAACGAACTCCATGAAATTGAAACTAGATACGCTTCTTTTCTTTCTCTACATCCAGGGATGTGAAGTACAAAAAGAACTTCTAAGAAGCTAACCTCTTGATACTTTCTTTCCAGTAGAATAATTTGATCACTAAAATCCAGGCCAGTCTCATTAGCCATTTTACGCACCTGAAGAGGTCAGATAGAAAAACAAAGGTCAGTGATAAAAAAAAATGATAAAGAGGCATGTTATTACAATCAGTTTGCAATTTCAAATAAGAGGGCACTGTTGACCTACACAAACATGCACGCACTGCGCATGCATGTAAAGTCACAAAAACGTGCTAACAAAGTAAACATTTTTAAAGATGGTTTAACATTATGAGATGCTGAGAGTGGTTTAATTTTCAGCTGAAACATGCAAAATTATGACAAGGAATTAACAATGACGACAAAGATATAGTTCTATAGGATATAACTTATAGCATATCGTTAAATTGACCTACACTTCATTTTATCACCATAAGTATCTGATAGAATCTGAGAACCCAAGAAAATTTCTCAGTGAAGCTTATGATCTCACTGCTAATTATGATCATTTGACGTCAAAACGAAGTAAATAATTGAGTTTCCAGAGCACCCAACACAACTGGCCATCTGTATTTAAATTCTCAAGGATTAAAAAAAAAGGCCCAGTAAAGTGGTAAATTACCAAGAACAATATTGTAATAAATTTTGTATAAAGAAGAAATAATCATTGCAACTGGATAAAAGGTAAAATGAATGAGCCAAGTGGCTAACAACTTTAACTATGTTTGCTATCATTCTCTCGAGGGACAGAAAGGTTAAGGATGTGGAGTGAGGCAGCGGAGAAATGCTAAGAAGGGATATATCAACTCATGCTAGATTTTTTTCCTATGAAAATAGAAAATCATAAGAGAATAACTACAGTTTCTATATGTACAAAGCAACAAATCCAAAATATGTAGTTTCTAAAAGATAATATAGTAAAAAAATAGACCAAGACCCACTGATGTTTAGCTTGGTTGGTGGGCGAGTACGATTGGGAACCCCCAACCCATGATCGATTCCCCTCGAGCGGCAACGCCTCTTAAGTGCGGCCCAACAAGTGCGGGTCAGGAGGTTTCTGGGGTGGGTGCCTCTTCTAGGTTAGTCGAGAATTAGTCACGCCATCAAGCGCCCTTTCAGAGGTGGCAGTGGGTTCCAAAAAAAAAAAAAAACCAAGAGTACATAGGAACTATCACTATACTTAAAATGGTCCTTTAATAGGGATTGTAAAATGGTAACTTTTAGCATAACACATGGCAAGATTAAGGGCATGCGACAACAATTCAGGTCCCATATTTGCAAATATTTAAAAATTTGTATTCACTAATTAATTTTCATTATTAATGTTATGTTTTTGTTGGGTTGGGTTGAAGAAAATAAAATCACCACTACTCTCACAGAGATGGGAAATTGCTCTACAAATGATCGCTCAAGAGAAGCAAACCCACTTCCTTATAAGCCTCCTCGGAAGAAAAATAGGAGAAGTTGGGAGTAATTTTTCTTGATGTGGTTTAATTTTATTTTAAACAATTTTTATTTGATATTTCCGAAGGGTTTATTTAGCTCTTTAGCCGAAACTTCCTATAAGAGCAAACCCCTTAAGTTAATAAGCTATTCCACTTATGGGAGAGCACACTTGGTTAAGGATGTTTCTTTGACTCATATTTTAGACTTAGATTCGATAGTTATAAGTGAAAAAACATTAAGTGGGCAATAGTTGGGAGTTATGGAGAAACCAATCAAGATCACATGGTTCTCTCATCAATGGATGTACTAGTGAACCCAATCTAAAAACTTCTGAGGGTTTGAGTCATTACATTCAGGAAGTCAAATTAGCAACCATGTGTTTCCCACTCTCAAATGTCCCAAGCCAATCGGGGTAGACATGTAGGTGTGTCATATTCATGCTTTCAAGTTAAATGGGCATTAATTTTAATCAAGAATAACAACTGAACATAATTTTAAGGTTAAGTGTTAGTTAAGCTAGTTGAGGTGAACAACAAGTGTGTTACCAGTCATCTTAAAGACATTATAAAAGGTGCACATGCAACGTAGGTGTTCTCTTTTCATATTCCTGGACATCAACAATGTTTAGCTAGGTTCTTAAAAAAGCAAAGCGGTTAAAAAGCATTTCCGTAATGAAGCCTAAATCATCTTCATAGGCTAGTAGATGCTACTGAATATTAGATAAATTTGAATTGCAACGGTTTTCTTTATTTTTATTGTTTGGAAACAATGATGTTTCCTAGCATGTTGAAAGGACTTAAATGTACAGTATGCCATAAATAACTCACATCAGTTATTTTCTTTTCGAGCTCAATCAATGGCTTCTCAAAATCAAGTGTAACCAGCTTAGGCTTTTCAGCAAGTGGTTTGAAGGGAGACAAATAGCTCAGATGTCCACTTTTCAGATTTGGATCAACATCATCTGGCCATGGATAGTCATGCTTCTGCCCCTTTTTTGTTTTAGCTAAAACACTGAATTTACGCCTACTTCTGTAGCTAGATTGCCGTAGATGTCTCGACCAAGCTACATTAATTCTATTCAATGAACTTTTATGGAGCTCAGCGCCAAAAATATCCTTTCTGATCTGAATATGTGAACCAGAAACAAAACTGCAAACCTCTGCTCCAGTCATTGACGTTGACAAGGATAAAGAATTCATCTCAAATATCTTATTATCAGCAACACCAGTAACTTTTAACGGAAACCTTGATATTTTGCAGCTCACTTAGCACTTTCCTACAACACCAAACAAATTTACAATTTAAAACATAAGTGCATAATCTGACAATGAAAAATAATAAAAGATTCCAAAACAGCATTAAACAATTTCGGGATGAAATATCAATAACAATCCAAAGATATTGGTCATGCCTTGAATTATATAGAATGAGAAGAGGGAGAATGGATTCCATAGCTGATCACAGATACGGCATTGTGGTGCTTTCCTTTTACGGGCATTCCTGGACTACAGGTGTATAGAAAATCATCGCTATGAATTCCCTAATAAACGGACCTTTCGCAGGGTTAAGTGTAAATAAGAAAGGTAACAAATAAAGGCAACATTTCCATATCGTAGCTCAAATCACAGCGTTGCTAAATTCAGCCAATAATCGAATTTACGTCGTTCAAAAAACAGCTTAAACAGCGAAGTTACATTTCCGGTTCTCACACTTGATAGATCTAACAAAAAGCTGAAAGGGCATGGAAAACTCATCAACTTAGAACGGAGCCAAAAGGGCAAAGAAAATAACGAACGAAGCACGAAGTAGACACCATTATCCTCTCGAATAATTTGATTACTATGTTGAATTAGTTATTCAATAGTGTTCTTGCAAGATCGCAGGTAGATAACAAGAATGCACATCTGACTCGATAATTGGGGCCAAACTCTCATAATTGCTACACTGACTTACCTTCGAATCAGTTCCTTATCTTCCGCCGGCGAATTGTTACGTGGATCGCAGGCTTAAGCCGGAGAAACGTTCTTCAGAATAGGATTTGGGTGCTAGAAAGATGTAGTAGTTCACCTAACTGGACCTAAGCCAGAATTCTTTCGGAGAGGCGTGACGAACTAAGAATGCTCAAAGTCACTGGCACAATAACGTGATTGCTCGCACAGCCGGACCTTATTAAGGCTTCGTTTGTTTTTTTTGTGCTTTTGTAAAAATACAGTTTTAAAAAATAGCACATTTAAAAAGCATTCTCAAAACTGCAGAAAAATGAGAAAAATGAGTTATTGGGAACGTGATTTGACGAACCAAACAACACAAAAAAAAATTCCTCCGTTTTAGAAAACGGAGAAGGCAAAAAAACGCTCAAACAAAGGCTTTGTTTGTTTGAGCGTTTTTTTGGCTACGGAAAAGGAGGATTTTTTTTTTTTTTTTTTTTTTTTTTAATTCACGTTTTTTATAATCTCTTTTTTTTTTTTTGGTTCGTCAAATCACGTTTTCAATAACTCCTTTTTTTCATTTTTCTGCAGTTTTGAGAAAGCTTTTTATATGTGCTTCTCCGTTAGAAAACATCATTTTCTGAACTATTGTTTTTTAAAACTGTCTTTCACAAAAGCACAAAAAAACAAACGATTTTAGAATGTAGTTTTGGAAACAGTAGTGCACAAAAAGGGTTTGAATAGTAGATTGTTGTCTTAGTTATATTTTTTTTAAGTGCTTGTGAAAATTTGAAACCAGATATTAACAGGTTGTTCATGTTTTTAATTTTAGCAATTTTACAATAAAAGATTAAGGCTTCGTTTGCCTTTTTTCCTGTTTCTTAAAGCAGCTTTCTAGTACAAAGATTTTATTTTTTGTACTAAAAAGCTACTTTAAAAAATAGTAAAAAAGTCCTCCCAAATAAAACCTAAGGCTTAGTTTGACTGCTTCTTAAAGTAATTTTTTAATATAAAAATTAAAATTTATATATTAAAAAGCTACTTTAAGAAGTAGTAAAAAAACTGTCCAAATGAAGCCTAAATTATCCATCTCTAAAATTTAAGTATAAAAATAATTTTTTTATTTTTTTCAAAAAAAAAAAATTTAAAAAAATATACATACATCGACATTCTTTAAAAAAATAATAATAATAACATGAGTTTTAAGAATTATATAACATATAAGTACATATACATGTTTTAAGTGTGATAATTTAACTTTAAATTACAGGATAATCTAGGTAGCACAAAATGAAGTCATTAACAAATAATTTAAATTTACTTTGAAATCATTTTGTTGAGATTGTATGAAAAAAAAATTAGTCTTAAGATTTGTCCATTAGGAAAGATTATAACGTTAGCAGATTTTGTGAATGTGAGCAATAAAATCACAATCACAGTCTGCATAATAATGTACATTAAAAGTAAATTTTTGCGCATTCATAGAATCCAAACACATTTCTAATATAAACTCTACACGTAATGATTTCTTGTTCTTTAAAAGGGATTTTGTGACACTTCTTAAAATAATTTAGTAAAAATTTCTAATTTTTTTATTAAAAAACTGTTTTAAAAATTGGAAAAAAAAAAATCATTTCAAATGAAGTCTTAAGTTTTGTTTGGGACGACTTTCTTACTGTTTTTAAAACAACTTTATTATTCACAGATAATCATTCGATTTTGTGACTGTGAACAGTAAAAACATAGTTATTGTTCACCCATGTATTTTTATTATTCATAATCACAAAATAAAACAGTTCCCTATAGTCTTAAGTTTTGTTTGGGACGGCTTTCTTACTGTTTTTAAAACAACTTTACTATTCACAGATAATCATTCGGTTTTGTGACTGTGAACAGTAAAAACATAGTTATTGTTCACCCATGTGCTTTTACTATTCATAATCACAAAATCAAACGGTTCCCTATATCCAGACTCCACACGTAATAATCTCTTGAAACGCCACCGAGAACTTTTTAATGAAAGAAAAAAAAATTACCAATTCTCTTGATAGCTAATCTTCCCAAAGGCGACTCTGATTCAGTGTTCATCCAAGCTAGAGAAGCACATTTACATAAAAAGCGATTGGAAGTAAAACCAAAGCACTGCACTTGGAAAGTTGGAACAATCCAAACACAGACTTAACTGCCACTTACCTTCTCTTTACAAAATAATTCATTTTCATCCGTAGTGTGGAAAATCTCATCATAGAAAAGTCTCATAACGGGGCTCTGTAAGGTCCACATCTTCCTCTGAGGATTCCCTATTCTGAATAGCTGATGCCAGGACCACGAGTTCCTGCATATACTCAGCTGAAAGAACCACTTGTTGGTTTTCCCTCTTTTGCTCACACAAGTTCTGGTCAGCTGTTGACGGCAAAGACAAATTAAGATGAACTCTCTGCAAGTTGTCTTGATTAGGTTCAATCAAGGAGCTATGATGTTGTGCTCTGCCTGAAGTGGAGCAGTGTTGTGGCTTGTCCGGAGCAGTGTTGCTTTCGAAGCTGCGCCAAGAGAGTCCCTACAGAGAATAAAAAGAAGATTGCTACCTTATAATGTTGGAAAAGATTATAAAATAGCATAAATGAAAATATTTCATTGCTCTACGGCTAAGCTTACAAGTTAGGTTCAATAAACAAGGCATGGGAAATTACAAACATACTTAGGAGTTTTTAACGAAACTCCAACCATTACACCAAAGTTAGGTTGATATTTAAGAGTTTAGCTTCATTCTGATTAAGTGATTTTACAATCTTCTCCACTTATGTAACTGACATCATCGATAATATAATTAACTCAAAATGTACCACTAGTCCGATAGGATTCTATATGTAACCCTTATAGGTTCAAGAGATAACTCTTGCCATGGAGCACTTTATCCCAACCAGTGTTCAATAGATGGCTCATATGACAACACTTTGTCCTACATAACATTTAATTCCTATCCTTTGGCTAGTGTCATGCTTTGATATTATTTATGATAGTTCAAACTCTTAATCATTGAGATATTATTCACTTTGCCCTAACAGTTCCACAATTTTATACACTTGGTGTAGCATTCCAAGAAGTCAACAATCCTAGGAGTGCTCTAGCAAGAGCACACCTAATTTTAAAGATTTTAATGAAACTACAACCAGTGCACCAAAAGATACCCCAATGTTTAAGGGTTTAGCTTCATTTTACATAAGGGGTTTCATAATAAAAGTAGTGCAACACAAGGACTTCCTAGCACTACTCTTGCCCAAGCATGCTTAATTGTGGAGATCTCATGGGATCAGATGCACAAAAGAAGTTTAGTCACCCATCCTAGCACTAATCTCACCCAAGAATGCTTAAATACGGAGGCCTCATGGGATCTGATGCACCCTGCTAGTGTCACGCACCAGGATCTAAATCAGAAGAATTGTATGTTTTATATTTACATTTACAACTATTTAACCATGCAACCAGAACTTACAAATTTTATAGAAACAATAAAAAAGCAAACAACATTTCATTTATATTTATTCAAAATATACAACTAATACAAGCCCAAAATGATACATGTACAATAATAATGCAATAAAATAAACTAACTTATCTCAATGAATACATGACTACAAAATAGAAAAACTATGTTAGGCCGGTTCAAGGACCGGCTGAACCGGTCCCACTGGACCGATTTAATTCTATTCCGGGCGGAATAGAAATTCCGCCCAGTAAAGGGGCGGGTGGCTTGGTGGGGCCCAACTGCTTTAATTGAAAGTAATGGTTGTAATTAGAGAAGGATTTGGAGGGAACAATTCAAAATTAAGGGTTATTTAGGGATTTCTTTATTGTATTCTTCTTTTAAGTAGTTTCTCTCGTTAGGATTAGGGTCTCATCTTGAATTTGACCTGAAATTTGAGATATTTGGGTGTTGTTTGGGCTCTAGCCATCAGCTAGAGATTGGGAGAGTCGGATCTTCCTCTCAAATTGAAGATCCATTATATTGTGTTATTTCTTTCATCTATTATTCAAACAAAAGAGTATTGCCTTGCAATTTATCTATAGATTTCTCAAAACCTGCTTTGAATATTGTTGAAATACTGAATTCAGCGGAATTTTCTCTCGGGTTTAATTATTATTTCCTATCAAATTGCTATGAGAGACCGTCGATCTAAGGTAGCAATGGCCGGGATGAAAGTGAAAGTGTTGAAGGGTGAACTAGGCCAATTGATGTCAGATTTTGTGAAAAAAATTTTCATATTTTGAAGGCCAAATTCGCATCTGTCCATGAAAAGATTGATGGGAGGTTCATTGTCGTGGAAGAAATATTGAAGAAACTGCTTGAGGACAAGTCTAGAATTACTGTACTCGATACGAGGGAAGCCATCGGAGGCTAAGGAAGTGGGAGAAATCCTAATTTGTTTAGGGGAAGGGAAAACCAAGAGGTAGAAATTTTGGAGGGAAAATACCAGATGCCTTCTCTATAACCACTTTTTAGGAAGGAAAATGAGTATGAGGTATGAGCGAAGGGGCACTGATTTTGCAAGACGGGGAATGGATTACGAGCGTCGGGGTGTTGATTTTGAAAGGAGGGGAGTTTTGAAGAAGGGCTTGGATACGAATGCAGAAGGGAAGATCATAACACTTGGGGAGCACCTCCCCTTTGGGGATGGGAGATTATGGAGGATTCAGGGGAAACGGAGACGATCCAAGAGTAAGGATGAAGATGTCCATCTTTGAGGGTGAGGAATCATATGGGTGGATCTACAAGGTAGAGAGGTACTTCGCTGTCAATAGGAAGTATTTGGACAAAGGATCCAGAAGTAGTAGCTTAGGGGGGATTGTACAGGATGATCACCAGTTTCTTAACTCCTAAGGCACCAGCATCAGGGAGCTTGCGTGAGGTCCCAAAGAAGAAACCTAGAGGAGGGGGATTTGGGAAAAACTTCAAGAATCTCACAGAGAAGGAGTTGCATGAGAAGCGGGCAAAGGGGTTGTGCTTCAGATGTGTTGAGAGGTACATGCCAGGGCACATGTATAATGATCGAACTCTTTAAGTTCTCACCATCTCTGATGACAATGAAGTTAAGGAGGGAAGTGAGAGTAAGGCAGTGGTAGAAGAGCATAAGCTACATCTGGACATGGCTGAAGTCTCCTTGAACTAAGTGGTGGGGTTCACCCCGAATCATACCATGAAAGTGAAGTGAGAGATAGCTAACTGAGAGGTGGTTAATAGTGAGGCGACCCATAATTTCATCTCCAATTAGGTGGTTAACCAACTGGGGGTAAAGTTGGCAGACTTTGGGGGCTATGGGGTGATAATTGGCACTGGGAAGGTAAAAATGGGTAGAGGGGTGTGTTGAGGAGTTGTACTGACTCCCAGGGGGTTCAGGTGAGGGAGGATTTTCTCCCCTTGAAGTTGGGGAGCACTAATGTCATCCTAGAGATGAAGTGGCTGATGTCATCCTATTGATCACCCCCGAGCGTGATACATGTCCGCCGCCACCCTTTTACAAAAAAAATAGTTTTAAATAAAAATATAACCATAACTTAAAAAATTCATAGAAATTCAATACTGAACCAAATTTAATGATTTTGAGCTCTATGGAACCAAAGTGATGAACTCTACATTTTAAAATAAATTTAGGGTAATTTGTTGAAGAGTAATTTACTTTTGAACCCCCATGAATTTCTTAAATTACTCTCCAACCATGCATCATCTAAGACTCAAATTTGGACATAGTGGACTAAGGGATGTTACGTACATTCTATAATTTTCTCTGAGCTTGGTGGAACCCCTAAGTTTTGTAATTAATTTTTCAAGGTCATAGGTCATTATTTGACATAAAACTTTGGGAAATCATTTCTCTCAATACTTGCAGAATTAGTTCATATTGATACATGCATTACCTCACATATTTATGCATCATTTTCTTATATGTGTGCTCTCTTTTATTGTTTACGAGGGGCTTGTTTTCGTGTCATGGTAGGTGAGTCATAGCTCCCGGGCCTCAAGAGAGGCTCCTTCGTTTCTTAGAGGTATGCACATACACTACATCAGAATGTTCACAAGAAACATTAAGGTGCAAACAATACTGAGAAGATGACAATGCTTGGAATGGACAAGAGCGATAAAGAGAGATTGGGCTTGCGGAACCGTGATAGAGAAGCAAAAATGAGGGGAGGGGTCATGAAAGATAGGGTTAGGATTAACCTGCCTTGATATCATGTTATAGAGAAAAGAACTTGATTGATTTCACTGTAATAATGGTGTTTGTATATAGACAAATATAAAGGTAGAACCTAAAAGAAATAAGAGTGAGAATATCCTAAACTAAGATAATATATTAAATAGTAAAGATTGAAGATAATATATTAATACTCATCAAGGAAAGGACAACTGACTTGTGCAGATAAAGCTTTTAAACAAACGTTTTATGCTTTACTAGATATCCTAACGCGAAGGAGCAATGAACCAACAGCACTAAATCCACAAAATTAACAACAAAAATCAATCTCATAAAAACAACAGTGACACACATGCATACACAACAATAAACTGGAAACTAACCATATGGAAGTTTTCATGGAAGTTCCTCCTCTGATACTTCTCAGGAGCAATCGTGGTGAGGATCTGAACAATTTCTGTCATTGTCGGTCGAGAATCTGGGTCCCATTGGAGACATTCTCTTGCTAAATGAGCCATTATTTGCATCTCTTCCTCAGGGAAGTTTCCTTTTAAAAGAGGGTCAGGTAATTCAGTTACAACCAACTTGCTATCATTCAAGCGAGCTGTTGCCTGCCATTTCAGAAAATTTTGAATTCTAAGCCTTCAGCTCCTTCAAGACTAACACGTGTATAAAATAGTTGTAGACCAAAAACGGCTGATCAAAGTCAAAATACCAACCGGAAATCATAATACTTGTTACAAAGCTCCCATCATTGTTATTTTAGTTGGTAAAATTTCATGGTTAATAACATCAACAAAATATGAACTAAAACAAGAGAACATTCTAACAGAACATTATTTAAAATTTGAAGCTTACTGTAAGTTTTAACGGAACCTTACCCAAATCACAAGACTCTCATCACCCTTAGCTGATTTTTGTATTGGTTGACGCCCTGAGATCAATTCCAAAATAACTACACCATAACTAAAAACATCAGACTTTAGTGAAGCTTTTCCTACAATGGCATATTCAGGTGCAAAATATCCAAATGTTCCCAACATCCTTGCCGGGGAGCTTGAACAGCTCGGGTGATCATCGGACATTAAATACTTGGCCATGCCAAGGTCAGTAATCTGCATAAAAGAATACATTGAATGATGGAATGCTGTAGAATGCAGATCCAGAAAAAAAAGAAATTAGTTTCATAAACATAAGAAAATGCTAGTTCTGCCAGGAAAAAAAAATTCTCTTTCAAAACATAATAAGCAGGTTATATGTTTATAAGATGGCTCAAAAATAAAACCAGGACAAACGGCATTGCATTCTATTTAACCTTGCCCATGCTTAAGAAAAATGCATTCACCTAGTGGGTAGTTCTTTCAACAAAGATAAGATAAGATCATATAGAAAGTAAAACAAATTTTCAAACAAAGATTGAAGTGTACCAAATCACATTTACCGTATACACTTATATTGCATCTTGAATCAACGAGTTCAAACTCACAATCAACAACAACAACATCAAGTCTTTGTCCCACTACGTGGGGTCAGCTACATGAATCTTTTTTCTCCATTGTGTCATATTAAAAGTCAAATTCTTGTTTAAAT